CCCCTCTTTATCCCTCTCAGTGCCCAGGAGCTACAGCTGGAGGACACCCAGAGGCGTCTGCAGCAGGACCTGCGGCGGCGAATGGCAGAGGAGGGTACGGCCCCCCCGCCGGGCAGCGTTCCCACGCCAACAGCACACCACGCTCACCTCTGCCCCCCCCCCCCCACAGATACCAACAAGAGCGCCTCGGAGCTGCAGCAGGAGCAGGAGATCCTGGCGGAGATGCTGAGGACGGTGGAGAAGCGGGACATGCTGGTGTCCATCCTGGAGGAGCAGCGTCTGCGGGAGCGGGCCGAGGACAAGGACCTGGAGAGCCTGGTGCTGTCCAAGGGCTACGACTTCCACTGGGCCCCGGGGAACGAGGGCTGGGGGGGGGGAGGAGCCGGCCCCAGACCCTCAGATCCACTCTGGTGAACGGGCTGTTATCGGAGTTCAATTCAGTTCTTTTTAGGGTTAGTTGTAAGACAAAGGGAGAATAGAACTGGAGCTAATAAGGACCAATAGGCAGCTCTACTCACAGCGTAGACAGACACTGACCGGAAACTGGACCTAAGATGCTGCCGCGTTAAAGTCGTTACAGTCAGTAACAAGACTTCGGCGGCTGCTTTTGGTGGTTTCCAGCCTCCATACAGGACTTGATTGTTGCTGTTCAGCTTTGCTTGGAGGCCCCCGACACGACCCAACACTTATAGGGTTTTTTGTTGTTGTTTATTTTAGTGCTTTTCGCAGCGTCGATTGTTCTAAACTACAAGCTGATTCCATGATTGTGAGGTGTTTTTATCACCGTTCTGCACTGTGACTGCATCTGTGTGTGTGTGAGTGTGTATTTAATGGTCGTTCACTGTGTGCTGGACACTGTAAATAGGGTTCAGTTATATTTACACAGACACAGGAGGGATAGCATCCTCTGCTGAGAGGCTGAAACCATTCACTGCCCTGAATGCTGCACCGGCTGAAACGTTCAGGCTGTCAGACACCTGGCTCCAGCCATACGCTCCAACCACGGACTGAAATGTTCCCCCTGGTCTCCTACCATCTCACTGGAGTTCTGCATTTTGTTTCCACTGCCATTCAGAGCTAGATGTTTCCGTTTAAATGGCTTTATAACACACTGTAAAGGGCTCAGAGTCCACATGTTTGAATAATGTGTTTACATGTTTTAGAAAAGTCCCCGGCACGGGTTTTACATGTTATTTTTATGTTTATGATGTGAATTAAAAATAAACTAACAAAAAAAGCCTCTAGATTTCATAGTAAGTTATGTTTCTATGACTTAAATATTGTTTTGTTTTTTTAATGCTGCTTTGAATCTTTGAAATGTAAAGAAAAGTCACTAATAAAAATGATCTCTCTTGAGAATTGTTGTCTTTGTCATGTTATGTTTTTGGAATGAGCAATTTATGGAAATTCCAACACAAAGTGTCATGAAGGGTTGGTAAATGGATTTTGTGTTTTCTCATGACATGGCTGCTTCAAGATCAATATGACACATTTCATCAACAATGGGCCTAATAGTCCTAGTAATTTTCAGGTACGCAAAACCATTTTAAAGAAAAGGATATGGTCACATAAATGCCCAAATCTGGAAGTCTCGAGAGGAATGATGGCTTTACTTAAGATTTTGGTCAATATTAACACAAAGTGACAAAATTGTTCAATTGAGGAGGATTTTCCTTTCCCAGAGGCCTCCTCCGGCCGCTCCCGGCCCTCCTCCCCAGAGGAGGGGCTTTTCATCCAGCCAACCCGGGACAAAATGCCTGGAATTCCATTTCCGCTTTAGGGAGTGGACGGTGATTTTTTTTTTTCTTCTCTGCAACTTTTTTATCAACTTTCATTTCCACGTCAACTCGGGACGTTTTGTGTCATTTGTCCCGGATTAAAATACCGTCTCGACGATGGCTTCCTCGCCTCAGAAGTCTCCGTCCTCCCCGAAATCTCCGACGCCCAAGTCTCCGTCCTCCCGAAAGAAAGATGACTCTTTTCTGGGAAAACTTGGTGGTACTTTGGCTAGAAGGAAAAAAGCTAAAGAAGGTAAACAACTAACACAAACCACACGTTGGGAGTAATTCGGCTTACTTTCCAACCCTTTTTAGTGGAAAGTTACTCGAGTTTTGAACGTTTTCCCACTTTTAACCTGCTCCGGGTCGCTGCCTGAAACGGCCTCAAACTCATCCCGACTGCGCAGTTAATCTGGCAGAAAAAGCCTTCACACACACTTTAAATTCTTTAAATTCAGCCGGAAAGTAGGACCCCGAGGCTGCGAGGTGTGTGTGGCTTGCGTGTGCGTTGGCCTTGCCGCCGGTGGTGTTTATTTCCATGTAAGGTATTGAATCCAGCATTACTGCGAAAAAAGCGAGGAGCGACGTATGCGTAAACACGGCCCGGTGAGGCTCCTCCAGGGGCCCCGGTCCCCCGGTTGGGACGCCTCATCCCCCGGGGGAAAGCTCCAGAAGCACCCCGGGCTCACATCAGTGGCTCCCGAAGACCATATACAGGACATTTGGGAGTCTTTGAGTTAATCTATCTCCAATCTGTACTGGTTTAAATGGTTTTAAATGGGTGTTCTCTTACAAAGTTTGGACCAAAAACTTTGAGTTTGGTTTAAGGTCAAAGGTCAGTTGTCTTGGATGAAAACAGCTCATGAGTGTTTACATGCAGTTTTGACCCTCATTCAGAGTTGATTCATATTCAAGACACTGTATTATTAGTATATATGTGCTTTTTAAAGTCTGCAGGTCTTCTGGTATATATATTTGTAGCCTGTCAGTTTTCTATAAAGCAGGATAAGAGCTTGGCCTGGGGCCCTGAAGGAGTCATGGGCTGTAGTCAAATGCTGAATCTACACATGAATCGCATTATTTATGTTTTTTTTGGGATTCTTCTCACCTTAAACTACGTCCTGCATGGAAGCCACCGTTTCCTGAGGTTATAAAGTCTCAAAACGCATTTTGTGATTTGAGAAAACTTTTATTTTCTTCATAAAGTGTAAGAAGTCCACCGAAGCTTTACTTTTTCCTCCTTTTTCTTTGCCTTTGGACCTTTAATATTGGGGTTGATCAGCTTGGAGAAAAGCAGCAAAAATGACTCCTCTCTTTTGTTTTGTTAGTGGCTCCTTATGTCTTCTCCTCCTTCAGGGGCTGGTTTTACAGGCCGTTACCTGTTCAGGTATTAGCTAACACCTCTGTTTCCTGTTGTTTCATCCTTCTTTTCTTACGTCTGAACTTGCTGAGTTGATGATGTTACTTTCAATAGAGAAAGTTCATCAATGGGACGCATAAAAAAAAAAAAAATCGATGATAAAGAATAACCAATCATATTAATGTGATTTTTAACAGCAATCTGTTTCTTTACTGTTTATAGAGCCTTCTTCCAAGTTCAGTTCAACTCCACTGAATTTGAGTTTTTCAAAATATTCTTAATTAAATTGCAACATGTTGTGCGCTGTATTCTTCTCATGAAACAATTCGTGTCATTTTAACAGCAACTGATATCCTTTCATGTCTATTTATTATCTTTAAACAAGTTTTCATCCAGAAATGGAGGCTTGTTTTATTAGTTTAGGCCCTGTGTTTCTAAAATTTAAAAAGAAATCACTTACAGTGGGGGAAATAAGTATTTGACCCCTTGCTGATTTTGCAGGTTTTCCCACTTACAAAGAACGCAACGATCTATAACTTTAATCATATGTACATTCTAACAGTGAAAGACAGAATCCCAAAGAAAATTCCAGATAATCACATCATATGAATTTATACAAATTAATAACCATCTGATGAGGAAAAATAGGCATTCTTTTTAAGTGGGCAAACCTGCAAAATCAGCAAGGGGTCAAATACTTATTTCCCCCACTGTAAATCCTGTAAAAGCTGCCTCCTCCAGAGCCTCGTCGGGGTTGGGATGTGATGCTTTGCAGCTCGTTTCCGTTGGCGACGGCGCTCCCGGACGCCCGTGGAGTTCATAAACCCCTCTGCCGCGGACCCTAAACACAGAGACCGACCCATAAACGCTCCATCTTAAAGAGGACTGTGCGGTTATGGCTCCGTGGGGCTGGCGTGGGACCCGGTGACATTCGCTTTTATGGCGGAGCGAGAACGGCCTCTTCCTGCCGGCTGATTGGTTCCCATCAGTCCGGACGCCGCCGCACAGCTGAGCCCCGTTTTATGCGGCCCCTCTTTCCATACGACACGCATGCAATCGCATTACCTGCCGGCTTGTTCATGCTCTCTGCACGCCTGTGTGTGTGTGTGTGTGTATCTGTGTGTATGTATCTCTGTGTGTGTGTGTCCCGATGATTTGATGGAAAACGCGGGCTGGCCGCTCCCGTGTCATTGAATAAATGGGGGTCGGTGCCACGTTTAAGACGGGAGGGATGGGGGGGGGGGGGGGGGGGCAGAGGATGAGACAGAGGAGGGGAGGCTGTAAGATGGGGATGAAATCCACTTAGTGGAGGCAGAAACACGCAGCAGAGGAAAACCCAGACGTCCACATCCGCATCCGTACGTTTAACACACACCGGTCAGAGCTCAGATCTGGAATTGGAGGTTTTTTGGGGAGCAGCCTGTGGAGGATGAGCCGGAGGGGGGGAGGCTGCTGCTGCTAGCCGGGGGGAGGATGCTGGAGACGGGGGGGACGGAGACAGAAAGACAGATATGGGCTGCGGAGCGCTCTGCCCTCCAGGTAGGACGCCCTCCAGCCCACGAATCCTCCATTCACGGGGCCTTTTTTCATCCCGTTTCAGTCCGTTCTTAAACGGCATCTCCACAATATGCAGACTTTTAGATAAATGAAGACGCACTGTTGCTGATGAACTCGTGGAGGTTAACAGTCGGGGTTTGAGTGAACGCTGGCGTTTTGTCTCACACGCAGATTGGAGTCGTCTGCTAGCCGGCGCGGTGTTACCGAAAACACGTTTTCCTTTGTGTTTTCACAGAGAACCGGCAGCTTCCGCCCCGCTAACGGGGGAACCGCGTCCCCGGGAAGGACGCCCGCGTGTTCCAGATGCTATTTAAAGTCAGACTGAGACGAGCCGGAATTCGCTTTTTCTGCTCCGATAGTTCCCACTTCAGTTTAAGAGGTTTTTAGAAACCTAAGTTCCTCATTTCTTAAACCCCTGGTTTGTTCCTGGATCGTTCAAATTGAAACATAACCAGCTAATAATAACATCTGTGAAAAGAACCCGTAGTGTGTGAGTGTATGTGTGTGTGTGTGTGTGTGCTCTGATAATGAGACAGAAATCCTAATAAGTGTCAGTTTTAGAAGTAGAAATCGTCCCTTTGTGGTGCGTTCAATTGCATATTTTAGAAACGGGGCAATAACGGTTCTTAAGTCAGAGCTTCCTGATGGCTTCAAGTTTTTGTTCATCAGCCTTTACACACTCAGGTTTTCCCACGCTCCTTGAATGCTCTCACAATTTGATACTCTGTAGATGTTGAGAAATCAAAGTAGTTTTTTTTTTTTTGGGAGAATCGCTCATTTTTTTAGTCTTTGGTGGAGCTTCCTTTTCTAACCAATCCTGACGCCCTCACCTGCCGCCACCTAATCTGAGACTTTCTCAGAAAGACGGTTGGATAGATAGATAGATTCTTCTCAATTTTTCTGTTTCTCATTGTGTGTATTCTAACACTGTGTTGACTTTCTTTGACACGTTTCCCAACTTTCGAGCATGTTCTTGTATTAAATCCAAAACCTTTAAGCACGGGGAGTTGAGTGAAGACACTGGGGATTATTTCCTTCTGATTTCTGTCTGTTAAATTGAGATTAAATCAAGGAAAAAAAATCCAGATTGAAGTTTTTGTTGCATTTTAATAGACATCCACCTTTTCTGGACAGGGGCTCCGTGGATTTGGGAGTCGGGATTCATCCGTTTTCACTCTCTGTGACCGGTTTTCTGTACATTTGGTAGTTCGTTCTCCTGTGCTGTAATGCTTAATACCGGGCTCAAACAGGAGTGTTTACCAGGCCCAATTAGTGCGCGCCGCTGCTCTGTGTGAGGGGATTCTGGCTGAATATTGCAGGCGCTCGGAGACGGTGTTGATTGGGAGGCTGCGAAGCTCCAGCGAAGGCAGAAAAACGCAGCGGATGTTCACCTGGTGCCGCCTCCTCGGGTGCTGGGCGCCGCCCGCCGAGCGGCAGGAAGCTAAAGCTGAAGCCCCTCTGTCTGTGGAACGTTAAAGGGGGCTAACAGGCTCCCGATGGCGTCGGCTGATGTGGCCCAAATGGGTCCTGGAGCCCAGTTCTGCCTAATAATGTCATGCATTTAATTAACTCAATGACTGCCAGCCATTTTCATAACAGAGAGTCCCATACTGCCAGAGTTTTTTGAGCATTTTGACTGGTTTTTCAAGAGCCACAGAATAGTTTGTGCTATGACTATGTAAACACCGAACACACCAAAAGAAAGAGTAGACTCTCTTCTTTCATCAGGAAAAAAAAATTGTTTCTGCCTTATTCCGTTCTTCCTCGACTTGCATCTCACCGGCGACATGTTCTCTCATAGCGAACCGTTACGTTGTTCTTATTTGCCTACAGTCTATGCTCATCTCCCATCAAAAGTGGCACTGCCACCTAGAGGGTCAATTTGTTACTACATACTCTGTCTAGAAGCCTGATATTTACGGACAATCTTCAGTGGATCGTCCCCCAAGTCACTCGCATTGAAAAACATAAAAGACGTCTATAGACGCCTTTGGCAGCCAATGAGTTAAAAATGTTAAAAAAGTCCAATCTGTTGCCCTAATTTCCTGAAAATGTCCCTTTGAATTGGGAATGGTGGCTGAATTCCAGAGGAAGGGTCTTTCCGTGGGCTTTCTTGGTCCGATTGGCTGATAAGAGGTCGGAATAGTGGAGATGTTTCTGGAGAATTTTTAAACTGATTCCTGGAGGTTTTCCTCTCCACAAAAACTTAGAAATACATGAATCTAGCGATTTAAACCAAGTAACAGTTGGTTTTATGGGGATCATTGAGAAGAAGTGATTGGGGTAGCACCATCATTTTTATGGGAGCAACCCGACCCATAAGTCATATGGGTAATGAGTTCCAAGAGCCTGGAGGAAATGTTTTATACCTAAATATCTAATATTACTAGCCTGTAAAGTGACGTCAGGTATGTTCTGGAAAGGAACAGTTGTCGGGCAGAACTGTAGATTTAGCCCAGTTGACAGAGTAATCAGAAAGTACTGAGAAGTCATTAGTCAGAATCAGAATCGGAATCAGAATACGGTTTATTGCCAAGTAGGTTTTTGACTTACAAGGAATTTGCCTTGGTGTTTGGTGCACAACACTTCTATGAGAAGCAAGGAAATACAATGTAGAAATAAAAATCTAGAACAGAAAATATCAAACTAAAAAGTACAATCTTTAAAAATATTAGTGTGAATATCAGTGTCAACATATGGCTGCCAGAAGCCCGTAGTGGAACCGTTTCTACCTCCACGTGCACCGTCTAACCCCCTGACCCCCTCTGACCCGCTCTGACCCTCTGACCCGTTCTGACCCGCTCTGACCTGTGTGCCTCAGTGTCCGAGCTGCAGGAGGAGGGCATCAACGCCATCAACCTGCCCCTCAGCCCCTCGCAGTACGAGCTGGACCCCGAGGACACCATGCTGGGTAAGCAGCTGACCGGTTCCCCGTTGGGCCCCCGTGAGCCTCCCTGAACCCTAACACACGCCGTTCTCCTTCCAGAGGAGAACGAAGTGCGCACCATGGTGGACCCCAACTCCAAGAACGACTGCAAACTGCAGGAGCTGATGAAGGTTGGAGTCTTTTTTTTTTTATCTGCCTCACGGGGAAAAAGCAGGGGAGAAACGGACAGATGCAGACAGATGTGGCTCTCAGGGAGTTGGTTTTTGGGGTTTTTGGGTTGTTGGGTTTTCCCGGAGCTGCTGGTAAAAGTTAAGCTAAGATGTTTTTACCCACCTCTCCACCCCTAACGCTTAACATTCCCCTCATTCTGAACAGTTTTATTGATTCCATTTTAATTTAATTCATTCCAGATGTTTTTATGTACGATGTATGTATGACTTTGTATGTTTTCTTATGTTTCGATGTTGTTTTGATGATCGTCGTCTTTGTAAAGTGTCCTTAAGGGGCATGAAAGACGCTTTTTAAAAATAGAATGTGTTATTATTGTTGTTAAGTTGGGTCCCTGCTCTTTTCGGACCCCTGTGTGCAGGTGCTGATCGACTGGATAAACGACGTCCTGGTGGGGGAGAGGATCATCGTGAAGGACCTGGCTGAAGACCTGTACGACGGGCAGGTTCTGCAGAAGCTGTTTGGTGAGAGGCCGGAGCCACCTTTTCTCACCAGGACATCAATCCAGAACCAGTCCAGATTAAGGGGTCCAGAACCCCTTAAGCCGGGTCTTCTGGGGCCGATCCTGAAAGTGGACCGGACGGTTTCTCTCTTTAATGCTATCCCAGAAGCGCTCCCAGATGGGACTGGAACGGGAAAACTGAAGCTTTTCATTCTCACCTGTTGAGATCTCAGCAGTGAAAGCGGATTATTTGAGATGTTTGTACTCTGCGTGAAAGATTTTAGGGAAAGAAATGACAGAATGTTAATGCTGTTTCAGCTTTCTGGAGGCTGAACGGCTTCAGGTCGCTCTGTTCGTTTTTTGCTCCATTATTGTACATTCTGGTCAAGAGAGCACCCAATATGCTGGTCATAGGCCTCATTTTTAAATAATTTTTTTGTGTAAAGGCAATTTTTCGTCAGTTGCAAAAGATGGCGGCTGTAGGTTCCCAAAACCTTCCTGCAGAGTAGATTTTCTGCCTAATCTGGAGGTTTCCGGCCTTCGGGAACGTGTTTCTGACCCATCAGATTGAAGACGACGGGTCTGGTTTCTACATGTCGGCCGGCGTTGGTGTGCCGGGGTTTGACCGGAGGAGTGGTTTGCTTTGGTTTTGCTTCCTAACGCCGGCGTTTGTTGGTGTCTGCAGAGAAGCTGGAGGGGGAGAAGCTGAACGTGGCCGAGGTGACCCAGTCCGAGATCGCCCAGAAGCAGAAGCTGCAGACGGTCCTGGAGCGCATCAACGACTCGCTCAAGCTGTCCACCCGGAGCATCCGCTGGAACGTGGACTGTAAGGAAAACCTCCACCACTCTCCATTAGAGCTTCCTTCTGAGGGGCGGGGCCTATTTTATCCCCACGCCGCTCGCTCTCCGGTTGGTTAGCCGTGGGAATATGAAGCTAACGGCTGCTCGGAGGCTTGAAAGGACGAGATGAGGGGGAAGATACACACACACACACACACACACACACACACACACACACACACACACACACACACACACACACACACACACACACTCTCAGGAGAGCAGCCGTCCCTCATTGTTCTGCTGCATGTTCGCAGAAGGCCGTAGAGACAACGATAGAGATCTGTCCCCCGCCGCCCGTCACGACTCCGGAACAGAGTCTTAGCTCGTAAAGCAGGAAAGGAAAAGGTTAAGGGGAGAATGCATCCGGACAAAAGAGTCTCCCAGTCAGGGGAAATTCTGCCGATTGAAGAGCAGAGCTGAGTTCCTGCGGTGCAGATCGCAGGTGTGTGTGTCCCTGTCCGAGAGGGGGGGAGGAGGCTTCACCCCCTCGTCTCCGGCTTTTCACTTGTGGGGCGTTTCAGTTGTGGGTAGGCTTGTCCCGATCAGATATCTGGATCGGATCGGCCACCGATATTTCCTAAAAAATGCGAATCGGCCAGCAGGAGAAAATGCAGATCCAGACTACCGATCGCGTTTTTTTTTTTTACGTCCGTTCCCACACGAGCATTAGCATTAGCATTAGCATCTCCCAACCCACAGGTCTGTATCCTCACCATTAAGTTGTTATCAGAGTAAATCCCTGTTCAACATGAGTCTGACAACTAAGTCAGTTGATAAATAACTTTAAACTTTAACACATGCTCTGATAGGCCCGCATCGGGATCGGAAGGGAAAAATGCTGGATCAGGACATCTCTAGTTGTGGGGCCTTTTAGTTGTGTGGGGGGTTTCACCTGTGGGCTTTGGTTTAACCTCGTGATGCTTTGGCTCAAACAGTCGTCTGGTTGGAGCTGCCAGGTGAACAGAAGTCAGACTGAGCTGCCAAATGACGGCTGAAAGATGTGAAAAAAACAGATTTATGTGGTCTTTAACTTCAGTAATTGAGATTAAAAATGACCAGACTTTATTTTCCATTAGGGAAGCTCTCCTTCTTCTGACTCTCTTTGGTTTAACAGTACATCCTCTCACCACCTCCTCTCCGTATGGACGTCCAGCACAAAGGCTCTGCGTCCAGTGTTTTCGTCCTTTTGGTGGAATGTTGCTCTTATTAGCGTTTTCCATCGAGGAAAAGGCCGACGGGGCTCTCCACCTGTCTTTGAATGGCGGCCTTTCATTAACGACGAAC